CCAATTCTAAGCATATGCATTTAGAACTTACTAATAATTATCAGTGGGGCTCACTTCCTAAGGCACACCTTTAAAATTAAAACCAAGGTTGCAGTCCTTTAATTTCTTTACCTCTAGAAGATGGTCAACTATACTCAACATGAATTATTTCTAAGTAGTCAGCAGGAATTGTCAACTGATATAATTTTCATACATTTGTGTTAGATATTTTATATGATCTTTAACATTAAAAATAGACAATATTTCATGTTATAAACACATTTCAAAGATTATTAATAACTAATACTGCCAGATTTATTAAGAAAAAGCTAGAACATATCAAATGTATTCCCGGGAACAGTGTTATATATTATCTCCCTTCTTCTAAGACAGGTATTCCCAAGCCCTGGTCTATGGAGTGGCACCAGTCCACGGCATGCCACAAACCGATCCATGCAAATAAGCAAAGCCACATCCATGGGATGCAGGCAGCAGACAAAACCACGCTCCTTTGGATCCCCAGAAAAACCTCTCTCCACAGATCCAGTCCCTGGTCTCAAAAGGTTGGAGGCCGTTGTGCTAAGAGCTAGAAGTCTGCTACTTTAAAGCAACCTCTTCTTTATTCCCAGCTGGGTGAAACAGGTGTATTACAACCCCAGTTCTTGGCTGCAGTACCAATAAAAAGCCACAAGCATTTCTTCAAGAAGCAGGGCAACAGAAACCTGTAGTTTTTAATTTTGCATATGTTTCTACAGTAATAAAAAAACTTTGTATTCTCCTGATGTTTTGGACTTCGTGTCTCAGAATTCATAACTGTGCTGCAAAGGTTGATGGAAGTTGGAAGGCACAAAAGAGACATCAAATTCAAACAAGAAGGACCTCAATATAAACGTCCTAAAATTTTAATATTGTCAACATAATAAAGCACATGAAAATTTACTGAATGCTCTCAAAATTTAGAGGCAGAAATTATTAAAATTATAGTTTAATTGAGTAGAATAATTTATAGAGACTTAAAACAACCTGGTTTTCTAATGGCAAATCAGAACATTCTTCATTTTATATGTGGAATAGACTAGTAAAACAAAGTACTGTATATTCCTACACTAAGTACAATTTGTATTATACATACGGTAACATCATTCAAAATATAACTCTATGGGCCAGAATCATAAAACTTTTAGACTTTGTATTAACTGTACCAAGTAGGTAATTGTTTAAACTAATTTTAGAGCATATTTCAGGATGTAAAAAGAAAATCTGTATAATATTAGAGCTCTAGCAGCATCAAAGGACAACAATTTTGAAATCAATGTACCTCAAATAGGTTAACTTAAAAGTGTATCCAAAATCTGGGACCCATTACTTCCATGGCACTGAAATTTGGCAAAGCTGCTCCAATACCATGGTGCCACAACCCAGTGGTCAGTTGCAGTTACACAATCACCATTTCTAATGCTACTTCCTACTTCAAAGAAAGTCAATGGGGAAGCCAGCAGAAAGTCAGAAGTCACTCCTGCCCACTCTGTTTTTTGCACATTTGTAGTCATTCTTTTTTTCTGTTTAGGTTAGGAAATATCTTTTAAATGATGACCCAATGAGTCACATGTTGTCTAGTGGTCATTAATGTTCAGTTTGTGCTGCAAATGTGAGGATTTAAGATCCTTGTCAGTTTAGACTCAGGGACAGTTGGAAACACCTGATCCCACCAAAATCAATGGTCTTAAAGTTCCTGACTTCCACAGATAGCTGTCTCATTTTCATGTCCAGAAAATGACAAACACCAATTTGATCACCATTCTGATGTAGAATTTTACCATTGTCACTTCTTCCATATATACTCACTATTTCAACTCTAGGGAGGCCCAGAATATCAAGGAACACATATTCTTTGTACTGAACCTCTTTTCCCAGCGAACTATCTTATAAATAGAAGACAGAAACTGCTATTGAGGTCTTCTCTTTTTAAATTTCAGTGCAATTACTGAAGCTAGACTGTTTTTCAATCCATTAAAGATAGAAGATTCATCATAAATTTATATGGTCTACATTAATAGACAACACTAATAAGGTAACTTGGACACTTGCCTACCTTATTCTAGATTAGGAAAACAATGTGAAATTTATGAACAGAAAACATGCTAAGCATAAGGAAGCAAGTGCAATTAAAAGGCTGACAACAACCACTATTTAAACACAATCTTTTCATCATGCTTATTAAGTCACTAATAAGCAGGTTTCTAGAAGCCCATTAAGCTGTTTTGTCACTTATTCTTGAACACTACATCTAGAATTTACTTCTTGATAAGAAAAAGAATGTCCCTCCACCTTGTTGAAAAAGAACTGATTCTTAGGTCCTTCTTATGTAATGCTTAAAAGATAAAGTTAGAAAACAGTTCTGGTCAGTAGATAGTTCAAAATTACTGAATTGTTCTCTAACTCTTGGTAATAAAAGTCAGTGTAAAGTTATTTTCATAAACATATACTCAATTTGCTACAGAATGTCTTAAATTGCTTTAAGAAAGTGAAATTAAATTAAATTAAATTAAATTAAATAGCACATTCACACAAGCTTATTTGTGTTACGTTCAAAAAGTTTTCAACAGAAGTGTAAGTACCTTTAATGTGTTCATAATAGAGAGTTCTGACTGTCCTAGTAGGATACACAAATAAAATGAACTATCACCAAATGCCTGAAAATTCTAGGTCAGATTTTGTGTCCTCTATTATTTTGAGGACACAAAATAACTTCCCAGCCCAGTTATATGTTCTACAGCTATATAAAGGTGAAATGTTAAAGTACTATATGGAAATAAAAACCTGATGGTGTATTTTAAGGAGATTCCATAATTACTGTACTTTAACTATATCTTCTCTAATTTATAAATATAAATGGATATTTTCTAATTTGATGGATAGTTTGATTGGGAACTGACTCAGAGAAAAAAATTATGAGAAGACCTTTAAATTGTTCACATTCTATTACCACAGATAAATACCTACATTTTAAATAGATTTGAGATGTTGAAGATGACTAAACATATTCCAACTTTTTTTTTCCAATACCAGCAATTCTTTGACATCACCTGATTGACCTTGTCTAGTGCTGAAAGCTAAGCAGTATCAGGCTTGGTTAGTACTTGGGTGGGAAATTCCTAGGGAAAACAGGGCTGTAACATTGGAACATTGGAAAACATCCTGGAAGAAGGCCAGGCTAAATAGCTTCCTTACTGTTGCCAAGATAGCTGCATGGACATGTCACCACTCAGGAAAGTTTATGATTAGCAAAGAATGAAAATTAAACCTCCACATGTTTATAAAACAAAAGCCCCTTTTCCTTCTGATCTTACCAAGTACCCAGATACAGAGGGTTGATGAAGCAAAATTAGTATTTATAATGAAGTCACCTTTTCAATGTTTTGCATGGTCAGGTAAAAACATGACATGGGAGGGATATTTCAGTGTACAAGTGTAAACATTAAAAAGCACAGCAAATATATCTTAGTATAATTCTTATTTTAGATATTTTAGATTCTTCATTTTTCAAAAAATAATACCTGGATATTTCTAAGCAACAACTGCTTTTTTCATATTTTCATATTCAAGATTATCCAGATATAATTTTACATTCTAAAAATTTAGAGTGTATAAGGCATAAACTGAAGGTTGCTTAAATAAGAACCCCTATCATTTATGACAAATGAAATTATAAAGCCTCCCCCTAAATTTTCTTATATCCAGCAGGTACCTTTTCCCAGGTGTTCATTGGACACACCTTTTTATTTAGAATTATTGCCAAAGTGGAGTTCACATTCTTTCCAGTTTAATAAGGAACAGAGTTGTTTAAAAAGCATGCTTATCTGAAAGCCTATTCTTTTTTTATTGCTCTTCTCATTAAGAACTCCCTGTGTAATTTTATATAATATCTGCATTTTTTTCTGAAAGAATTGTTTTAACATTTTTTAGGAACAAGAAAACAATTCTGAATGGTAGATTTAAAAAAACCTGTAGCTAGAGAAATTACAGAATAAAAATTGACTTCCTCTTCTACAGTGTTTCAAACACCACAAAACCTTCAAACTTCACAAAAGCAAAAGCTTGCTATCAAAAAAATCTATTTAATCAAAAAATGAATGAATGAAAATAAATGAAAATAAAAATAAGACTATTTAGAAGTTCACTGTATTTTTCTTGATTATGTTCCTATTTAATTTTATTGACTGCCCTCTAATTGTTTCCTCTATTTGTTTCAAGACAACTATTCTTATAAGGAAAATCTAAATGAGCGAATTGAAGGAAGCATGACTAATACCAAAAAATTACATTTTCTCTTTTGGATGTGACAACTTTGTTTCTTAGAAGGTTCATTCAAAAATAAGAACACTCTGCAACAAATTTTCTTTGCTACTATATGTTATTTTTCCTAAATTACACTCTACCAATATTTACTAACAACTTCCATTTTCTAAAAAAACATTAAAATAATTAGGTCAGAAAATTATTGTTATGGAGCTGAGTTAGTGAAAAGTAGCATTTTTAAAACTTTAATTCTCAGAAAATAATAGGCTAATATTTAAGTTTCTAACAATGTACCTCTATAGTATTAGCAAAAAGGTAAATTATCAATTTAAAAACCATACTTGTTTTCCAAAAGTACTAAAGTTTCACTATACAAAAATGCTTCCTATATCTTCTACCTGTGAAAATAGAAACTTAACATTTGTAATAGAGAAAGGAAAATAATGTCCTCTTCTTAAAACATTGCCCTGAATCATTATCTTTTCTGTCACTTTCATGCCTCTTAGTAATTGAACTAATTGAACTATCTATCCAAAAAGTTCAAAGCAAACTATTTCATTCATTCTAAACCAAGGAAGTTCAGGAAATTAAAAGAACTAGTATACTTGATTTTAATTACATTATTATTCACACTGTGGAAAATCTAAAATTCAGAACATTTTTATGCATTCTTTATTAAGAGATGATGTATATAGCAAGAGCCAATATTGTATCACACTTACCCATTCTCAGTAAGCCATGCTTCCCGGTGATGCCTTTTTCAGCTTCCGTTAACAGTTCTTCACTGTCATAGTTACAGAAGCCAAATTTACAAAACATTTTTTATAGAAGGCAAAACGAAAGGTTTCCTCCTACAGATATTTTCCAGTGCTGATAAAATATCATCAATGCTTCAGTCCTGTGATTTAAAAACAAGAAAGGAAAACTGTCTCAGTCAAGTTCTTCTCAAAGATTCTCAATTGCAGTCCATAGAAAGAGGGTAAGCAGCAGTCTTAAAGTGGCAGTTACCAACTCCTAGGAGATACTTATTAATCCAAATTGGCAGCAGCTGGTTTTATTGTCTACCACTTGGCTCAATCGAGCCCACACAAGTGTTAAAACTTTATCACATGCTGCTGAATCAATCATGGTTAGCTTCAGGATTTTAACCTACACATAACTAAGCAGTGTGAGTAAAGGTTCTAACTTCAGGGCAGGGAGTTCTTATACAGAGCCACCAATTAGCTCTGTAAGAGTTAGCCAATCACTGGCTGCAACTAGTGGCCTCTGTCACATGATAGGGCAGTCCTCACTACACAGAAAGATTTCTGAATTAGCTGGGGTTACACAAAGGACATTCATTGGGAGGGGGAAGCAGCATTACAAACCGAAAACGCCCAGTCTCTCTGCTAGTGCTTTAAAGCAGGAAATTTGCTTGCTCTAGATACATTCAGAACCATATTTTGGATATGGGAAAATCAGCTGAAGCACTTAAAATCTTACTGTATAAATCAATATATTCCTATTTAGGATATTCCTTTTTTTCCAATTTCTGTGCTTATTTAATTAGGCAACATTTCTTATTTATGTAAGAAAACAAAGTAGTTAAAAGGACAAAAAGCCTCAAGGAAAAAGAAATTTAAACTACCATTTATCAAGATAATTAACCAATTCTCTTACATATGGATCCAGAATCAAATATAACCTTTCCCCCCTGCTTTTTTAAAATACTTACTGTTATTTGTGGAACACATATTCATTTCATCTATATACTACTTTTCTTCATTATGTATTAACCCAGAACAGCAAGTTTAAAATGGTGTTTTAAAAAATATTTATCCCCATTCTCAATTGCAAATAAAATTCAACGCTTTTTCAAAGACCAGAATTACAATATATAAAATTTATGTTTGAAGTCTAAAAATTTGCATACATTATGTAATAATTACCAACATAACCTGGTTGCATTTGCTATTAAACAGCTTTCACTCTATGGCTTCCTGCTGCTCCAGTCTACCCATCTCAGTTTATGGACATAAAACATATGCCAGAACAAACCATTCAGGATGACTCAAATTGCTTCACCCCTAAAGAACAGCCAGGCTCTTTAATATGGAACAGAAGAACCCCCTTATGACTCAGAGCTTCTACTATATAGGGAGGGGGACTCTGGATACCTTGCAAACTTTGCAATGGCAAAACAAGAATGCAGTATTCTAGATTAAGCCAGGAAGGCATGTCCTGGAAAGTCTGGAATTCACTCTAGAGTGCAATGTGCCACTAACCACTATTTTTTATTTCATTGGCTTCAAGAATATAACATTGTACAGTTCAATACTATATCATTCTATATGCGAGCCAAATCAAACAAAATACTATAGTTGAAGGCATTTGATATTCTAAAATGAATTTTCAAAAGTCTTACATAGTAGATTTATAAAGAAATTAAAGTTATTTAAATGCAAATACTGTAACATATTTCCCTGCACAGAAAAAGAACAATGTGTATGATTTTTTTTAAAAAATTGATTTATATGCCGCCCTTCTCCGGAGACTCAGGGCGGCTTACAATGCTTTAAGCAATAGCCTTCATACTTTTGTATTTTTATACAAAATCATCTTATTGCCCCCACAATCTGGGTCCTCATTTTACCTACCTTAGAAAGGATGGAAGGCTGAGTCAACCTTGAGCCTGGTGAGATTTGAACTTGCAGTAATTGCAGGCAGCTGATGTCAATTACAGTGCTTTAGTCTGCTGCGCTACCAAGGCTCTTGTTTTGAAGAATTGTTTTGAAGAATTGAAGAATTCATTTATGCTAAGAATTAGACTTTTGTTTAAAAACTACAATCTTAAAGCAACTCATGCTTGGCATGCCATCCCCACTATATTTTTAAAAGTGTCTAAAGAATAGGAATGAACTACACACTATTTGTATGAACCATTCCATGAACAGAACTATCAGTTTGGGATAGCCGATATCCGAACAAAAAGAGCTGTATACAAAATGAAACAGGGCTGTTTTGAACCAAATATGGACTCAGGTTGTTGTAGCAAGAAGCATTTCAGGAGGTAGGTGTAACAAAATGCTAAGCCTGAGGAATTTTCTTGGCTATATATGGAGTGAATGGACATCAATGGCTAGGTGAGCTGAGAGGCGGGGAGGGGGGAGCAGAGGAAAGGTACTGAGACATGGGACGGTGCTAAGAAGATGAAAGATAGGTGGACCAGCAAATGGGAAGAGGGGGCAACATGCACCAGCCTTGTCTAACTCCCCTCTAATATTATTCCAGGATTCTTCTGAGTTTTGTTTTGTTTAAAACTAAAACAATCAACAATTATAGGATTTGTTTGTGCTGAAGTCTGAGAAATCCAAATCAATTTAGCATAACTTCCAGAATACAATAATTTGCTTCAGTTGAAAACAAAAATGCTATCTGTTTTCTGAATATATCCATAACAAACTAAATACATATTAACTGCAAATTTTTAAATGCAGATTCAACAAACAAAAACAAACCCAAATCTAGACAATGAGAACATCAGGGATTGTTTTTATATCAGTTTTAAAGGATAAGTAGTTAACATAAAAAGAAGCAAGGAACCATCCCATTCCCATTTTGTGATGTTCAATGAACCTCACTAGATTTTAGAGCAAGGTATTCATTAAAATAATTGAGTAAATAATCCACCTCTTCGACCACATAGTCTCTACCATCAGAGAGATGGAATGTTGCACTTACCTGAACGTTTGTTCTATGTGCGCTGCGTGAGAGTCCAAGCAATGGGTATTAACTTCGTCTGATTGGCCAGAAACTGAGTTGGAATTTGTTTAGCCATGCCTCTTCCTTCCGGCTGAGCTCCAGTTTGTTAACGAGGGTCTGGATCTGAAGAGGACATAACCTGTAATGAAACACATTCGCCCCTGGACCCATATGGAACAAGGGTGGGGTTGGACTCTCACGCAGCGCACATAGAACGAATGTTCAGGTAAGTGCAACATTCCTTTTCCTATGCACTGCTTAGAGAGTCCAAGCAATGGGATATACCCAAGCTAATTATCCCTAGGGTGGGAGACAGAGGTGCCCAGGGTCCCCTAGACTGGAAGAATCTGTTGTAGAATCCTTCTCCCAAAAGCCGCCGCAGCTGAGGCAAACTTGTCCAACTTGTAGTTCCTGATAAAGGGCAAGGGCGAGGTCCAGGTGGCCACCCTGCAGATTTCCAGGATAAAGGCTTGAGTGGCCCAAGCCTCCATAATGGCAGTGCTCCTCATTGAGTGTGCCGTAATGAGGCCGGGCTGTGCCTGGCCTGATGTTCGTAGGCCAAGGCTATACACACCTTGAGGCAGCGACCGATGGTGGATAGAGTCCCTTCGTGCCCATGCATCTGGGTTGAAAGGAGATGAATAATGATTCAGTCTTCCTGAATGACGCCGTCTTGTTGATGTATTTGCGCAGGGCCCTGCGGACATCTAAGGAGTGCCACCATCATTCCCTGGGATGCCTGGGATTCGGAGAAAAATCAGGTAATATGACTTTCTAGGCCCTGTGATACCAGGTGTTGATTTTTGGCACAAACATTGGAACCAGGCGGAGAATAACTCTGTCTGGCTGAGAGATGCCTTCTCACGGAGAAGGCCGCAATTTGGAAATTCTCCTAGTGGGTGTTATAGCTATGAGAAAGGAGACCTTAAAGGTTAGAAGTTTGAGACTGCTGACCCTAATGGCTCGAACTGTGAGGAAATAAGTGCCTGTAGCACTAGCGACAGATCCCAAGAGGGATATCTGTGTACTGGAGGAGGTCGTAAATTGGAGGCCCCTTTTAAGAAGCTACGTACCCTCGGATGTTGAGAGAAGGTTGCAGCCCCATTGCAGGTCAGGATAGTTGCCAAGGTAGCTACCTATCTGCGGAGCGTGTTTATGGCTAATCCTTTATCTAGCCCTTCCTGAAGGAAGTCCAAAATATGTGGGACAGATGCTGATGTTGGGACTAGCTTCATCCTGGTGCACCAGTGGCAAAAGGAAGTCCATGTGGCCTTGTATGCGGTTTGTCGATGGGCGTTGCGATGCTAGGATGGTAGAGATTACTTTTCTAGAGAATTGGCTCCTCTTTAGGATCTCCCTTTCAAGTGCCAGACAGCCAGTTAGAACCACTGAGGCTCGGGGTGGATAATGGCCCCCTAGCAGAGGGAGATCATGTCTGGGGGGATCCTCCAGGGATAAGAAACTGATAGGTTTACTAGGTCCACGAACCAGGCCTGTCTAGGCCAGTAAGGAGCTACAAGAAGGACCTCCGCACACTCCTCCAGGATCTTTCCGATGACCCTCAGTATTAGAGGGGTCAGAGGAAAGGCATATAGTAGACCCTGGGGCCACGGGCAGCGGAGGGCGTTGGTCCCTTTGGCCCCTGGAGTCTGGAACCTGGAGTAAAACCTTGGTAGTTGTATATTAGCTGGGCTGGCAAAGAGGTCTACACATGGTTGGCCAAATTTGGTTGACAGTTAGAGTAAGAGGTCTGGATGCAGCTGCCATTCAGCCTGATTGAAGGTTTTTCTGCTCAACCAGTCCGCTTGGGTGTTGGAGACCCCAGAGATGTGGTCTGCTTGCAGGGAAAGCAGATGTTTCTCTACCCACAGATGAATCTCCGCTGCTTCACATATCAGTGCCCAGGAACATCTGGCCCTGTCAGTTCACGTGCGCCTTGGTTGTAACATTGTCCATCAACAATAGCACATGACAATGTGCAACAATAGACCCAACAGCGGCTGTTGGAAATGCCAGAGCGCCAGGTGCGCTACTCTCAATTCCAGCCAATTGGTGTTGTTCAAGAGGTTGTCTGGAGACCATCGGCCCTGGTTACTCAGGATTGCAGATGGGTGCCCCAGCCAAAGAGGCTGGCGTCCGTGATCAGGACTAGATGGG